CGATTTGCGTGCCCGTGTGCACACATTTTGAGGCATCTCATTTTCACATCATAGTGCATACTAGGTTGTATTTTAGATCGCGTTCTGTATTTTCTCGGTTTGCGTGTCCGTGTGCACGCATTTCGAGGTATTTCATTTCCATAGCATTGTATATGTTAGGATTCTATCTTAGTTGCATTTCATGCATATCATGCATATTGCATCATGTCCGGAATAAGAGTTAGCCTGGGCACGGGAAACGAGGTACATTTCGTACTCCGAGTGACGGAATGTGTCTCAATTCCCCAGTCACCGACACTCCGTATTATCCATGATGGAGTTAGGTTTTAGCTGTAGTTTCATGTGCATTCATCCTATATTGAGTTGTGCATTTCGACTCCTCGGCCATCAATTCAAGCGTATTGGAGAGGATGAAAATTTTTCTGGGTTGATAGCTCCCTTTTCTGAAGTTGAAATTTGGGGAGCAGTGAGAGATAGTGATGGTAACAAAGCTCCGGGGCCCGATGGTTTCAATATGTTGTGTTTCCAGCAATGTTGGAATGTGTTTAAGGGAGATATCCTTAAGTTCTTTAAAGAGTTCCACTCTAATGGATGCCTAGCTAAAGGAGTTAATAGCTCGTTTATAACACTAATTCCCAAGATAGAGAATCCAGGTGGACTTGCTGACTATAGGCTTATCAGCCTTATTGGGTCTCTTTATAAAATTCTATCTAAAGTTCTTGCTAATAGACTTAAGAAAGTTTTATCTCAGATTATAGGTGAAGCTCAATATGCCTTCATAGGTGGTAGGAACATTTTGGATGGGGTGTTGATATCAAATGAGATAATTGATTGGTGGAAGAAAAGAAAGAAGAAGGGGATAATTCTTAAACTGGATTTCGAAAAAGCTTATGACACAGTTAATTGGGGCTGTCTGTTGGATTTCATGTCTAAGTTTGGCTTCCAAGATAAGTGGACTAGATGGATGAAAGAGTGCTTATCCTCAACAAGGGTTTCAATTCTTGTTAATGGTTCTTCTACGGCAGAGTGTAGTCCAGTGAAGGGTCTTAGACAAGTGGACCCCTTGTCGCCTTTCCTCTTTAACATTTTGGCGGAAGGCCTGAATATGCTCTTCCAAAGAGCTAGATCTTTGGGTTTCATAAAAGGAGTTGCAATTGGACATAGGGAAATCAATGTTACCCACCTTCAATTTGCGGATGATAATAGTTTTTTGTGAAGCAGATGAGCTTGAGATTCAAAATATAAAAAGGATTTTGAGGTGCTTTGAAGTGATATCGGGGTTGAAGATTAACTTTCATAAAAGTCATGTGTGCGGGGTTGGGGTCAATGAGGATGTCGGGGAAGTTTATGTGAAACAACTGAATTGTTTGTGTCAAAAACTACCATTTATGTATCTTGGGTTACCATTGGACGCAAGTCCAAGGAGGAGAAGTACTTGGTTGCCTGTAATTAACAAATTCAAGGCTAAATTGGCTTCTTGAAAAATGAAGCTTTTATCATTTGGAGGCAGATTAACACTTGTTAAAGCAGTGTTGTCATCTCTACCCATCTTTTATCTTTCAATTTTTAAAATGCCTGAGAGTGTAGTAAGACTACTTGACAGGATCCAGGCCAAGTTCTTGTGGGGTGGCTCAACGGTAAAAAAGAAGTTGCATTTGGTCAAATGGGAGGAGGTTTCAAAGAGCAAAGACATTGGGGGTTTGGGCATTAGGAAGTTAAGAACGGTTGGACTCTTTGGTTCAGACTTAGAACCGTGACAAATTTGAGAGTCCTGAGCTGTAGTGACCCCAAAATGAACAGAACGGGAGCTCGTTCTCCCGGGGCGTTCGGGGACGTCTACAATAGGTCATTGTGGAAGTCTATCTTAATTAGCAAATATGGCAACGCTGGTGGAAAATGGCTTCCATTCACTGAGGCTGGTCAGCAGAGATCGAAAATTTGGGATGATATTCTCAATACGGTTGTTAGTAACACCCAGCTCTACAGTTTCGATGTGGCAAACTGTGAAATTCAAGTGGGGAATGGAACTAGAATCAGATTTTGGGAAGACCATTGGATGGGTGAAAAATGTTTCAAGGAGGAATATCCAAGGCTATTTGAGCTATCGTTGGAGAAAGAGGTTCCTCTATCTCATATGGTTGAAAGAAAAAGAATCACAGCAAGGTGGGACCTGAAGTTTAGGAGGAGATTGAGGGCTTGGGAGGAACTTGAAGTTGTAAGACTCAAGGATAAGTTAAATAGCAATACCCCATGTTTGACTGAAAAAGCTGATGCCTTGGTTTGGAAGGCCTCTTCAAATGGGTTGCTCAGCACTGCTGCTGCTTACAATAAATTTACTTATGGGCAGGTTTTACTAGCCACTGAGCTTATTTGGAAGAACATGTCGTCACCAAAGGTTAAATTTTTTTGCTGCCTTGTTTGGAAAGGTAGAATCAAATCAAGAGCATATCTAAAAAGCTTAGGGCCGCTAGAACAAAATACCAAGTCTGATTGTGTTTTTTGTAATGAGGAATTAGAATCTTTGAACCATGTTATGCTATTATGTCTTGTTGTTTGGCAAGTATGGTCAAATCTACTAAAGTGGTGGGGGTTGCAATGGGCTTCACGTCCAAGTGTTGCAGGTTTGCTAGATTGGTGGAGAGGGTTTAAATGGAGAAAAGTTGAAGGCATAATCTGGAAGGTCATCCCATTGGCCACTCTATGGTTTGTTTGGAAGATGAGAAATGAGTGTGTGTTTAATGGGAAACAACCTTTGATGGGGGAGTTGTTGGAACTGATTAAGACAAGAGTCATCTTATGGTTTAAGGCTGAGTCAAGGGATAGTTTCTACTCAGTTCAGGAGCTGGTGTCAAATTTGCAGCATGTTAGGAGGATTCTATGCTAGAAGGTTAGATTATGTGCCAGGTGATCACTTGTGGATTGGCTGGCAGTGGTGGAGTTGTGTTTGTTGTGTTGTTCTGCTCTATGCTTTGCTGCTCTATTCTACCTTGACAGATTTGGAAGGCTGTGTGTTAATTGCTGCACAAATTCAGGTTTTTGCTGTCTTCTGATGTTCTGTTGTACTGTGTTGATGTTCCTGAATCTGTCTTGAGCTGGATTTGGTAGGGTTCAGTTGATAGGCAGAGGAGTTGAGTCAGATGTTTTGTAATGAATTCAGATGGGTTTGGAAGGCTTCAGTTCTGTTCTGAATATGATCTGTTGGTCTGCTCTCTGGCTTAGTCTCATGTCTTCAGTTGCTGGATGTTGGTTTCTGGGTTGGTCTGATCTGTTGGTTTCTAGGTTGGTCTGCTCTTTGGTTGATCTGATCTATTGGTCTGCTCTCTGGTTTAGGCTCAAGTCTTCAGTTGCTTTGCAAGTTCTGCTGGATGCTGGCTGCTGAATGTTGGTCTGCTATGTTAGGACTAGTATGGTCTGATTCTGTTTTGTAACGACTAGTATGGTCTGATCTGCGGAGTTGGCTGCTGATCTGTTTTGATTTTCTTCTTGTTTCTTTGTTGGTTTCTCACCAACTGGAGCTCCAAGCTCCTCTTTATTGATGTTTTGTAGTTTCTTGCATACTTTCATCAATAAAGATCTTCTTTGCCGATCAGAAAAATTTTTTTTTTATTACATTTCAAATAATATATAAGTTAATCAACACAAAAGAAATTGTATGACGACTTTACTTTTGAAATGAACCATTTGCAAAATAAACATCTTTGATTGTCTTTATTTGAAATAAGATTTAAAATTTAGGATTAAATGTATTACAATTGAAAAATTAAAAACTAAAATGACACAAGTCTTAAACTGTATGGACTATTAATGTCATTCACCCTTGATAATTGCATTTTGATCAATATAAGTATACATGATCCATTTTGAAATATCGGTATTAAAGTGAAAAAACAATATATTATGTTGAAATGCGATTAATATTAGAAGGATGACAAATACACTTACGATCTATTAAAGAGTGAGTGGCTTAATCGGTTTAAATTCAATTCATCAGATGATACTGATCGAATTTTTAGTAAATCCCTTACAATTTCTGTTAATTCCATTGTTATACCAGGTCTAAGCGTGACAATAGCAATGGAGTAGTGTTTTACAACCAATGTTGCTAGAGACACACCCAAGGATTGAGTTGGGAGTGCACGAATCATTCGAACTCTCTACTTGGATGTGCCTGCTTTGCTTTAGGAGGTATATTAGAAACTTCATAAGGTACTATTTAAGATAAATTATACTGGTAATCTATATATTTTGTTTTTTTGTGGTATCTTAATTTTTACATTTTTAATTAACTCAATTTTGATAATTTATTTTTAATTTTGTGTCAATTTAGTCTAATTGATAACATCGTTAGAATTTTTGATAGAAAATAATCAATGAAATTATTGAGGTTAACTCATAGAGTTAAAAACTTATAATTTTGTCCCTAAAATCATGACACAAGACACTGGACACTTATGTACATATTTTATATTAAAAAAATGCTAACGGTCGTGTTCAGTTTGACTAAATTGAGATAAAGTCATAAATTTATGATCAAAATTGAGTCCATTAAAATTATAAGAATCAAAATAACATAAAAATTAAAATACATGAACTATCCACGTAATACGTTTTACTATTTAAATTACAAATTATAACGGTCATTTGTTAACTGACATGCTTTCCCCATCCAACTTCTACAATAAATTCAGACTAAACTTAATCACTTGGCCAAGGTAGACTAATCCATTTTAATTCCTATATTGCCCTTTCAAATTTCATCATCAAGTTCTATATGGCCCTTTCTGGCATAAGCCAAAATAGTCTGGGCAAAAGGACAAAATCCCCCTTTCTTTAAAGTAAAGCCTCTCCACATTAGAATTGATTAAAGACAAAAAAAAAAGCTACCCCAAACCACTCACTCATCAATCACCCTCACAGCATCAAAACCAAACCAAAGCATCAAAGAACAAAATCAAATGAGAGGAAGACAAAACTGAAAATAAAGAGAGAGAAAACAACAGAATCAAAAACACAAAAAAAAAAATGTTGAGAAGCCTTCACCTACACTCCACACTCAAAACCCTCCCACCACCTCTGAAAACACTCTCCTCCCTCTCCCTCCCCCTTCTCCTCCTCCTCTCCTCCCTCTGCAACCATCCTCGCCTCATCACCGCCAACATCTTCATCTACGCAGGTTGCTCCCAAGAAAAATACCAACCCAGCTCGCCTTTCGAAGCCAACCTCAACTCTTTCCTCTCCTCAGTCATCTCCTCGTCTTCCCAAACCTCTTACAACAGTTTCGCCATTGGAAATACCTCTGCTTCCCCAGAAGGAGCCATATACGGGTTATATCATTGTCGCGGTGACCTAAAAATACCGGATTGCTCAAAGTGTATCGAGAGTGTGGTTAGCCAAATCAACTTGGTGTGTCCCTACGCTTATGGGGCTGGCCTACAACTAGACACTTGTTATCTAAGGTATGAGCATGGAGATTTTTTGGGAAAATTGGATACTGGACTTAGGTTCAAGAAATGTAGCCGAAGTGAAAGTAATGACGTGGAGTTTTTTAGGAGAAGGGACGATGTTTTGGCGGACTTGCAGGGGGCGATAGGGTTTCGGGTGAGTAGGTCAGGTTTGGTTGAAGGGTTTGCTCAGTGTTTGGGGGATTTGAGTGCTTCGGATTGCTCGGCTTGTCTTTCGGATGCTGTAGTGAAGTTGAAGAGCTTGTGTGGGTCGGCTGAGGCTGCAGATGTGTTCTTGGGACAGTGTTATGCTAAGTATTGGGCTTCTGGCTACTATGACACCTCTTCTGGTAAGTATTCTAGTTCATGTTTTCATCATCATCCATGAATTTTTATTGAATAACTTTAAGAATACAAAAATCGATTACAAAATTTTTGTATTTGATTGTTGTAGTTATAGCAAAACTGATTTTCAAACATAAATAGAAGTTGCTATTAATAGTGACTGAAATCACTTTGTAGTATTCTGATTCAATAAATATATGTGCGTAAAATTTATGCATAGAATTATACCTTTAAAAAATAATATGGTGTATGTTGAAACACTCATTTGATCACACATTTATGTTTTTGAGTTATTTTATGTACACAAACTCTGTATTAGTATGGTTGACTAGACATGGGTCCCTTTTGAATTTGTGGGACCACTTTGAAAAATTGTTGTGTTTACTTTTGGAAAAAATCCTTTTAAAAAGTAATTATAAATTAATGATAAATACTGTTGGGCCTCCATGAAGCTCACCACAGAGCTCACATCAATGATCCGGACTGTTCAATACGTAGAGCTCGTCAAATATTTTATTCTTGTAAAAATTTATATTGATCATATCACAATTACGTCAATAATTTATTTTTAAAATCATAATTATCATTAATATAAATTTGATATGATCAAGTGACTATTGATATTCAATTAACGTGATTTTTTATAAAAATAAAGTATTCGATAAGATTTACATATTAAATTATTCGAATTATCAATGTAAACTTTGTGTTGGACTCAAGAAACTTAACAATATACTCCAATCTAATTTTGGACAGCAGAGAAGCTGAGCTTTTCGAAGATATGTATTTCTAATGAGAGTTTGTTCAGTTTAAAACATTTTGACCATTTTTACTGCATCAATGAGAGAGAGAGAGATTCAAGTTAAAAAAATTTCAACACCAAAGGATCAACTCAATGGCTAATCTTTTTAGAAAGTAAAAGTATTAAGGCCATTGGCACTTTGTTGCTTTCTTTTAGTCACTGTATTGTTTTGTGTTTCCAAGAAATCCATTTTTCTTTCTTTCTTTTCTTCTTTTTCCTTTTGTTTTACACTTTTTGTTTTAATTTGAGGTAGGATTTTGATGAATGCTAGTGACCTAAATTACATTATTTTAATGATTAACAAGGTCAAATTTATTCTTAAACAATGTTGTTGGTGCTTCCATTATGAGTCTAATGATTTATTCTAAAGCTACATATATGATGGCTGAGAAAATGTAAGAAAATAAAAGAAAATCATTGTACTAGAATCAGTCCCTAATTCTGTTCCCTTAGGTTCTGTTTGGATGAACATTTAAGTAGAAATTTGTGAGGGGAAATAGGGAAAAAAAAAGGAAAAAATGACATTAAAATCTTGGGGGGAAAAAAAAAAAACTTGGGGTTTGATCCTTGTAACAAAATAAATACTGATTTTTTAATTTTGTCAATTTAAATTATAATCTTTTAATTTGTTTTCAACTTAAACCATTTATCTATTTTATTTTAGACATTTTTCGTATATTTACGTTGAGTTCAATAACTAAAAATACTATACTTTTCATAATTTTACCTTGAAAAAAGTCTGGAAAACACATTGTGTGTCTCATTATGCATAATTAAATTTAAACCACACATCCATATTCATGGTAAAATTCTGAACATTTTTTTATGATATTTTAGGGTTTCTATCTATATATATATATATATATATTTCTAGGATAAATTATAAACACTTTTTAAGATTTACTTAAAATATAAATTGACAGTTTTAATTTTAATTTTAATTTTTTTTTAATTTTGTTTTCATTTATTTAAATTTTACACATATCGCATATGTTAGCCACTACTATGTATAAATGTAAGAGCTAAAAACAAAAATTTAAAAAAAAAAAAAACAAAAGAAGAGAGAGAAATGTTTAAAGAAGAAGTTTGGTGAGGTAGTGGCAGCCTTGCATACTCTCTTTGTTTATCTTTATAGGCACAGTAGTTAGTATTGGTGAGTACTAATTCCTTTTTTTAAAGGTTTTGGTGATTGTGTGTTTGTGTGTAGATTCTGCAAACAAGGACCAGGTCGGAAAAACAGTAGCCATAATAGTAGGCGTCTTGGCCGGTCTCGCCGTTTTGATCGTTCTTCTCTCTGTTTGTCACAAAGCACTTGGTATGATCTCCCTCCATTTTTATCATTTTTAATAAACAAAAAACCAAAAATAAAATTGGGTTGCGCTCCTCATCTAGCTGGAGAGGAGATGTTGAGCTCGTTTCGGAATTCACATTGAATGATACAAATTGTTTATTCTGTAAAATTTATTGAAATCCATATACAAAAATTAAGTTTATTGAACAATGAAATCCATATAATTAGATTACATTTATCTTAAAAAATAAATAAATAAATCACCTATTTTAAAAATTATATTATCCGTTCAATTTTCAAACACAAATTTGGTCAAATTAATCAAAATTTTTATATGAACTATCTTCTTGATAAACTCTATAAATGAATGGTTGTTCAGGTAGGCCTCATAGTAGGCACAATGAGCCCAACATTGCCTCTCTAGTTGGATCACCAACTCTAGAAAAGTCATCTTCAATGAAATTATGAAATTTTGGTGTCGTATAACGTTTATAGTTTATTATTTTTTATTTATAAAAAATATTAAATATAATTATATTTATTTTTAGTAAAATAAAAATACAAAATATATTTAGTAAAAATATTTTTAAAAATATATTTTCACAAGTGAGGGTATGGTTGGAAGTAAAGGGCGGACTCGCGAGAAGTGGTAGTTGGAGGTAGAGGGGGGCAACCAGAGTTGTGACCCTAGCTAGGGTGGTGACTAGAGATGGAGGGAGATTCCCCAAAGTTGATAGTTGGCGGTGGTGAGTGAGAGGAAGTGGAGGACAGAAAGAATGAATTTTTTTTTTAAAAAAAATGAAAAAGTAACTTTTTGTGTCTATTGCGTTTATTAAATTTTTGTAAACTATTTATACTGTTTTGGAAATAAAAATAGACATGACACAAAAAAATTATAAAAATGGATTAGGTTTACGGTTTCTTTGAACTCATATAAACTATTCATCAGCATATATTATTGTATATATTATTATAAATTATGATAATGATAAAGATGAAGATAAGAATGATGATTCTGACCTGATACATGCATGCAGGTTAAAGGAGATGAACATAGAGATGGTGGTTTATTTTCTTTTAAATGAAATGAAGCGTGGTCATTGTAAAAGGACCCATATGTTTGTTACAAATATTCTTGTGACATCTATTTCTTCCACTTTAATCCATTTTAATATCAATTTGGTGGTGCACAAAGAAAAAGTTTGGTTTTATCTTTTGCATGTTATAAAGTAGCATTCTTATCTTCATTACTTTTAAGCCACTAGTTATATAGTATTTTTGGATTATCAATTTAGCACATTAATGATGTGGTGTTTTTAAACTAATAAAAGTACTAGCAATAGAATGAGTAGCTGATTTGATCCATTTTGATTAGTTGGATGGAAAACAAGTTGGTCCCAATCATTTTTTTTTATAGGATTTCATTAATCAGAAGTATCTTTGTATCATGTAATATGCATGCTAAGAATATTGAATATAATTTCCCTCTTCAAAGGAGCCTGATTCCCCTACAAATTTCACCAAGAATAATAGATTAGGAATTCAGACCCAAAAAAAAGAAAGAAAAACAATATGTTCATGATCATATAAAATATTAGTATTAAATCTAAAGCACACATTATTTTAAACTCTTTTTTTAATGTCAATTCTTGGTCTCTAGCATTATTATTTGACCCAAATAACCATCACTTGCTTAGGTATATCTTATTTACTAAATTCTAGTTTTGCCTTCTAGATGGAGCTAGCACATGTTGAGCTCCACTTTAGGTTTAAAAAAAAAATAGCATAAAATCCTTGTCAAATAGCATGAATGCTACAGACCGAGAAATAAACCTAAGAAACTGACCATCATTTGATTTATTTTTTGTGACATGATGGTTAGATTCTATGTTTTGTTTATCTGTAATATTTTTAATCTTTTAAGTGATTGACATGTGTCGTAATATTTTTGTTCATTGTTATTTGGATTATCAGGTTCGTGGAATTTGCGTTAGGCACCTAGAAATTATTTCAAATTGTGAGTTCATATTCACTTGCATATTTCTTAGCAGGAAAAAAAAAATTGTTATTGATACAAACGCAATGAATAGGAGCACATCAAAACTTGCATGATTAACTTGTGTGTTTTAAAAATATACTCAATAATGCTAGATATTCAGAAAAAGGATTACAGGCGCGCTTTGACAAGTTGATAAAAAGTCAATTTTTTGACTTTTTAATTTTTTTTTAATCACATCAACTCTTGATTTTTTTACACAAAAAATTAAAAAAGTCACAAAAAATCATCTTTTTACCAACTTTTCAGAACACCATTAGATAGTATAAATTTATTTTCAAATGTGAGTCTCACAATCATTAAGTGCCCGCTTAACAACTTAACTTTTTAATAACCTCAAGAGGTTAGCCTCGTAGTTAAGGCTTAAGATTTGGGGTGTGCTCCTACTAAGTTTTCAAGTTTAAAACTTTTTAGGTGCAAATAATTTCTTGGGACTAGCGCGTATGATACTTTTGTCCTGACTTTAATTGAGACCCCCCTACAAGTATGGACCAGATATTTAGTTATCAAAAAAAAAAAAGAAACACCTTGACTTTTTAGTATTTTTTAGCTTTTTGGTTTATTTTATGAGATAAAAGAGTTTACTCTTTTGGAATTTTTTTAAGTTGAATAAATAATTGAAAAAAATGATTGATTAATATATATATTATGATATTTTGACGTTTTTGTGGCTTTTTAAGTAACCATCGAGCACTAATCTAGATCACACATTCTTCATGGATAAATTCCTGAATAACTTTTCTGGTTTTCTAGAAATACATTACAAAGAATTTGATGATCCTTTTCCTATAATGTAAGCTAGGTTGAAATATACTAGGCAATAATTATAGGGCCAATTACGCCTTAGTGTAACTTTTGAAAAAAATTACAAATATATGAAAAAATTTATAATTATTAATATTTATAAAATTTATTAATGATTTACAATTATATTTTGAAAATGTCATTGATTTGATATTTTCCCATAATTATAAGCCTTGGGTCAATGTTATGAAGAAAAAAACTTCTTTAAGAGATAATCCATTTTGATTGTATTTTTATTTAAAAAATATTTTATGAACTATTTTCGAATAAATTTTTTAAAAATTACCAATGATAACTCTAATGAAAAAGTCAACGACTACCTTAGTGAAGAGAGATTGGAATTTTGAAATAAAGGTTCCGTTTAAGATTTTTATTATTTGGTTGATCATAAAGTAAAATATTTTTTAAAAAAAAATGACTTTCCCTTTAAATTTCGGTAAGTCATTTTTGTATACCTTGTTCCAATCATCCCGGCAGTTTAGTGAGCAAGTCCAGTGGGTTTTGCAGCTATATGGATAATTATTGGTTCTCCTCAATGATCAATTCAACATCGACAAAAATTGCATGCAAAGGGAGAAAATACAACTTGAGTACTATGAAAACATTTTTACAAACATCAGCCGAACACCGAAAAATAGAAAGAAAATTTATTTTTTTGTATAAAATTGTTTTACATGGAAAAATAATTTTTGTGTAAAATATTTTATTATGAAACAAACGGAAGCTTCCAGCTCTAAATTTAGGGCCTTTAAAAATGAATAACATAGTGTTGTTGTTAGGACAGTCGCAAAGAACACTATTGTGTACTAGCAATTTGGTTTTGATATCACTTGTAAGATCGAGTTCTGTTATTTCACCTAAAATCAATTAGTGTTACATTTGCCATTGCAATACACATGCTATTTTTAGAGTAATTGTAGAGAATAATATTGTCTACTAAACACTCTACAATAATCTTAACTTGCAATAATCTCTCAATATATTAGTTCAGGAGTCCAAAATAATTTTGAGCTCCTAAATTCACAAGTCAGATTTATTACAGAGAATCTCATTCATAAGATAACTGAAAAGGAATTACCCAGTCTACCATCTTTATATCTAAGTTTTTCAGCCAACAAACTAAAGACCAACTACCACAATCCCAATAGTCTCATATTTTTTGCAAAAAATATCCAATTTGCTAAAAAGATTCAAGAACTCACTATTGTTGTCCTTACTGTGCCTTAAAACAATCCTAATTTTATACGCTTTATTTTTTTTTAAATAAAAGCCCTTCCAACACATCTCCATGGCCATCTTCCGTCAAGCACGTTAAATTCTAACATCATTAACAGAAAGATAGATCTTATTTCATGGACAATGTTTGAGATGGTGAAAAAAAATCCCTCAATTTGTTCCACAATTATATGAAATGATAAGTGTCAAATTTTAATTTATAAATAATTCTATCACATAGACTCCACTACAGTCTACATTGTAATATAATTTCTAAATCATGAATTTCCATTTCTAATCTAATATTTTCTCTCATTTTTGGGTGTTTGGCAAGTTGTGTTTTTTGATTTTTTTTAGTTAAAATAGTCAATAAAAACAAAATAAGTTAAAATAATTAATAGAATAAAATATTATATTCAAATTATGATCATTTCACTATTTTTTTTCTTTCAACCATCGAATCAATAAGAAAAAGCTAACTTTCCTAACACAATTTTTAAACTAAACTAAAGTAACTAAAAACAAAAAAAACTAACTAAAATACGTCATTTGTCTAAAAATAATAATTCATTTTAGGGCATCAAACTTTTTTTAGTTGTATAATCATTACACTTTAAAAAAATTATTTTTTTAAAATTACCTTTTAATAGTATGTTTTTGAAAATATCAATGGTCATAATTGTGTTTTTTTGGATATTTTTGATTGGATGGATTAGAATATGAGATTGAGATTATTAATCCGTGGTTCTAATTATCCTATATTTGTTATAATATTTTGGTTTAGGATTATTAATCCAATGGATAATTAATCCAACAAATTTGTAAAATTATTAGTAATGGAGTAGGGGTGGGATTATTAATCTAATGGATAATTTATCATATTAATCCAATTGGATAGTGAATACTATACTAATTTGATAGGATTATTAATACCTCACTATTAATCTTGTAAATCAAACATGACCTTTGTGTTGTTAATAAATTTAAAAGAATGACAAAATAAAAAATTCATATTATTTTAATTCTTAATTTTTCAAAAATAACTAATATTTTAAAATAATAAAAAATAAAATAAAAGACTAATATTTTGAGATAGAAAAAATAGATAAACTTGTCATACCAGCCCTTCGTTTGATGGATAATGATAAAGAGTTCTAACACTAAAACTCTAACATGAGCTCTAAAAAAAAAAAAAAAAAAAAAAAAAAAAAAAAAAAAACCACAAATATTACATCATCATATGGGACCACCATTAAAACTTTATTACAACTCTCAAATTTGTTGTTTGATTGATGGGACTTGAAAGTGTAAATTTTTTTATTTATAACTTAATGGAATGTAAATTTATAAAATGGGACTTGTGTTAATAAAGACAGATGATACAAATCAAAATGAAAATAAATAAAGTTCAATTTTAATTCAGTTTACAAGTCTAAAAAGATTACTCTTTTGGAGATTAATTTTGGGACATCAAGGTTTTTCACAGTAGAGATGGAGTGAGTGACAGAGAGATTGGGGGTATTTGTTTCAGCTTTTCAGAGTTAACTTATGGTTTTTAACTTTAAAAAAGTTATTTTGGACTATTTGGTTAAACTTATTTCAAACAGCTTCTGATTCTAACAGATTATTTTAACTCAAAAAAGCTAATTCTGAGAAGCTGTTCACCCCTTGCTTCTGATTATCAGCTTCTGCTGTGGACATGTTAATTTTTGGTTCTACTCATAAATTTTTTTATTTTTTATTTTTTTAAAAATAGAAAAAGACCCAAATGGACTATAGATTATTATTATTATTTTTTATGAGAAATGTAGACAAACAAAAAATAAAAATTAATTGAAAAAGCTATTTCACAACTTATTTAGCAACTTAAATCTATAATCCAACAGTTACACCAAACAGATTAACAACTTCTGATTAAAGTCAAAATCTATAATCTGTTAAGTTATAATCTATAAACTGTTTTAACAGCTACACCAAACAAGGTCATTGCCAGTGGTGTATGGGACCGTAAGATTATGGTGGGAGTGTTGAGCTTGAGATTGAGAGCGGAGATATGAAGAGATAAGAGAAATTATGAGAGAATCCGAAAAATGAGATGATTTTAGGATTAGAATCTATTATATAAAAAATGGTCTTTTTAATCCATAAACTTTGTGGGAGATTTATTATTTT